ATTTAATTTGATCTCAGATTCAGCATATGTGGTGAATGCTTTAAAAATTTTGGAATTAGCAGGCCCTATTAAAATTAGTAGTGTTGTTTGTTCACTCTTACAAGAGTTACAAAGATTAATTTGGTTGAGAAAGGAATGTTTTTATATTCAACATATTAGAGCCTGGGCCCTTAAGTGAAGGAAATGACATTGTTGATCAATGGACAAGGGTGGAATGTATTTTTTACAGCTCATCTTTAGATCAGGCTAGGCAATTCCATCAGCAACTTCAACAGAAATTCCATTTGTCCAGAGCAGATGCTCGACAGGTGGTTTTGAACTGTCCACAGTGTATAATATACCTAACACCCACTTGGTGTGGGGGTAAACCCTAGGGGGTTAATGCCCCTAAAGATATGGCAGATGGATGTCACGCATATTTCAGAATTCGGAGCTTTGAAATATGTACATGTGTCTGTGGATACTTGTTCAGGTGTGGTACAAGCTACACCTTTAAGCGGAGAAAAAGCCCGTAATGTCATTGGACACTGCCTGGAAGCCTGGGCGGCTTGGGGAAAACCTCAACAGCTAAAACCTGATAATGGGCCAGCCTATATGGCTCAGAGATTTACTTCCTTTTGCAAACAAATGGAAGTTCAGCTTGTCCATGGATTACCCTACAATCCTCAAAGACAAGGGATTGTAGAGCGAGCTCATCGCACCCTAAAAGAATGCTTAATAAAACAAAAAGGGGGAATAGGCCAAGGCCAAACTCCCAAGAAAAGAATATCTTTAGCCCTTTTTACCCTCAATTTTTTAATTTTGGATGTTGATGGCCTTTCTGCCGCTGATCATCATCGGCGGCAAGGAGGGAGCCTAAAAGGCTATGTGAAATGGAAAGACGTGATCACCAGGTTATGGCATGGTCCTGATCCAGTGTTGGCATGGGTGAGAGGGTCTGTTTGTGTTTTCCCCCCAGGATCACCAAGAACCGTTGTGGGTCCCGGAGAGGTTTGTAAGAAAGTGCAACAAACATGAAGAGCCTGCTGTTGCTGTTGATCATCAGCCTGATTTGGCCACAGTGCAGATGGAGCCACAATGGGGATCCTGTCGGTGTTCCCAAGACCCATGCCGATACGCTATGATGCAAAAATGTTTCCCCGATTTTTTAGTACTAATAAGAGCTTAGATTTACCTTATTTGCCTTATGATAGTGAGATTGCTAGTATAAATGAAAATAGGAGTTTTGTTTTAATAGGAAGCCTATGCTTTTATGTGATATTAGTGATAAGAGTCAGTGCATTATGTTATTTAATCAATCTGCAGCTTGGTTTGATGTGCCCACCATGGGAGGCCCCATTAGGGAAGTCAATGCCTCCTGGGTAAGTGGATGATGGCCAGCTAAGGGTGATGTTGAAAAGCAAGCACCCCATCAACCTAAGTGGGCCCCTCGTTCGAGCAAACGAGGAAGTGATTTCCTTCCCTGGACAGGATGTCAGTCAAAAGAAGTTATTTGGGCCACTAAGGGGTATTTTACCTTTTCACCAGGAATTAGTACCACCTTCAATAAAACCTTTGCTGGGAGAAACTTTACTGATCAGGATCCGCAGCAGGTGGATATTTCCAACCCTTTTGATCTCTGGCTCTTGTGCTGCATTAATGGCAGCTGCACAGATTTGTCCCCTTTCCTTATGATAAGGGGCAGAGTTCATGGGGTGACCGAATTTGCTTGGTCTACCTCTGAACATTTTGGTGAATGGTTCAAACCTAATCCTCTTCAACCTAGCGGCCAAGTAAGCACCAATCCTTCCTCTAGAAGGGTAGGGTCATTGAATATTAATGCTACCTTTTCTTCTACCCCAGTATGTGTGTGGCCACCTTTTGTGATTATTGTAAGTAATAGTAGTATATTGGATAGTGAAAAGTTAGTCTGTGATACTATGACCTGCTTTTTTGCCCAATGCTGGGATGCTGTGAATTTCCCCCTTGCTGTGGTTGCACGCTTGCCTAGATGGATTCCCGTGCCTGTTGATGCCCCGAGTGCTATGACGGTGTTCAGACGACAGAGAGATTTTGGCATTACAGCAGCATAGTTGCAGCTATCTCTTTTGCAGTTGTGGGTTCAGTCACGGCTGCCCTGGCCATGAGCACATCGGTACAGACAGCCTCTAAGTTAAATGAATTGTCCAAGAATGTGGCCACCACCTTGGATGCTCAGTCCATAATTGGTGCTCAGTTAAAAGGAGGTCTTATGATCGTGAACCAAAGAATTGATCTGGTGCAGGAGCAAATAGATACCTTGTGGTAGCTGGCCCAATTGGGATGTGAAATGAGATATCCAGGCTTGTGTGTTACCTGCGTTCAGAATGAGAATTTTACACGTGCTGCTAATTTGTCACGACAATTGTCTAACCATCTCTTAGGAAATTGGTCTGCTGACTTTGATGACTTAATGGTACAGCTTCGAGTGGCCATCGTCGCTGTGAACTCGACACGAGTAGATGCAGGATTGGCTGCTGGATTGTCATTATGGCTTGCTGTTGCCATGGATCATCTGAAAGAGTGGGCGGGAATGGGAGCCATGACTATCCTCTTGCTGTTTATCTCCTTTGTGGGCCTGTGGTGCCTTTGCAGGCTGAGGCTTGCTCAGAGGCGGCATGCAGCTATGCTTGTCCAGGCATTTACAGCCATTGAGGCAGGGCAGTACCCCCAGGCATGGCTCGCAGTCATGAATAAGAATTGAGCACTGCACTCCGAGTTGACTCTGGAAGCAAGTAACTCTGAGAAGGGCAAGTCTGGTTGCATGTTGGTTGGTGTCCGAGGCCCCACCTCCAGGAAAAAGATACCGGATGGGTGTGGCACTGACTTGGCTGACTACCAGGATTCAGGGTCATTACAATGTCCACTACATTACTAGAGATCAGACCACTACCCTTGCCTGTTGCCATAATAAAACAAAAAGGGGGAACTGTAGAGAGCTTCGAAGTGCTGCGCCTTAAAGATGGCACTGGCTTCTGCCTTTTTGTGAGCGCTCTCTGTCATAAACAAGTCCTTATTTGGCTAAGCCTGTTCAGCTTGCTTGCTTCTGTAGAAAAGCAGCCACGTGGCTCACTAGGGTTGGTCAGCGCAAGGGGATTTAAGCCTGTGTGGGTGTTTCCCCGGAGTTAGAAGAAGAAGCTTGTTCAAAGATCCTGATTAAACTGCTAGAAGATCTCCCCTGAGTTGCATCTTCCTTGCTGGTCAAGGTTGGGTGCGACAGCTTGCTACCGTTCCAGTCTGGAGTGAGGCATGGGTCTGAAACTGGGTGATTCTCATCCCTACCCCTCCCGTGTGTGTGTGTGTGTGTGTGTGTGTGTGTGTGTGTGTGTGTGTCTGTGTGTCTGTGTGTCTGTGTATGTGTGTGACTCCTGGCTCTTTTCCTATTAGACTCCTGCCACCCCAGTCTTTTGATTTTCTTGTTTTTCTTTATCCATGCTTTAAAACATAGGCTTGATAGTAATCTTACATTTCATTATGTCTCAGTCTGGAAGATATGGGATTAAAAATACACTCAGAGCAAGCCTGGCCTTGTAATCCCAGACTGAATTTCAAAATGAAATCTTAGGGGTCTGGAGGGGTGGCTTGGTGGGTAAGAGAGACTGGTGTGCAAGCACAGTGATCTAAATTCAGATCTCCAGCACACAGGTAGAAAGCCCCAACACTGGGGCAGGGGCTGCATAGCCTGTGTCCCCAACACCCAGGCGGGGACTTGCTGCATGGCCTATGGCCCTGACACTAGTGCAGGGACTGACTTCATGAACTGTGGCCCTGACACTGAGACAGAGGTCTGTACAAAGATGGGAGGCTTACTGGGCCTTGCTGACCACCAGTCTTGCTGAGAAACAAACAAACAAACAAAAGAAAAGTATTGAGCTTCCAGGTTCAGTGAGAGACCCTGTATCAAAGGGACAAAGGGGAGAGCAATAGAGAAAGACACCCGATGTTCTCTGGCCTTCACAGGTGTGTGCAGACATGTATGCCCCTGTCCACGAATACACACACACCCATACACCACACACATACATTAAAGAAAAATCCATAAAGAGGCTGCAGATGTAGCTTACCTTGCTGCCTAGGGTGAATCCTGGTATAGGGTGTGTGTGTGTGTGTGTGTGTGTGTGTGTGTGTGTGTACAGAGGAGACAAGCAGCACACAAGGTCCCTGGCCTGTTAGCCCCTGCTTCCCACGTCTCTCTGCCATGCTATGGTTATTGACTTATTCCCAGAGCACGTGGTTGTCTCAGGACAGGAAGACCCCCCATTTCTTTTCCACCCCCCTAATTTTGGATAACTTCTTACTCTGTAGCTCAGTTTAAATTGTTACTCATCGCATGGCTGACTCCAAACCGTAAGTGTTGTGAAAGGGAGCTAGTATGTGGTAGTAGATGGATTTTAGTCCATATGTCTATTAGATGTCCTGGGCTCCGTAATCCTGGCTCAGTGCTGCAAAACATGGATTGCTATGAATTCCCAGAATGTGGCTAGGAGCCAGGACTTTCCTTCTTTTGTGTGTACTTTCCTGATACCTCAGCGGCTGGCCAGTGTGACACCTCAAGAACAACCCTAAAATACGATCTTGGTGGAAGTGTGTGTGTGTGCGCGCGCGCGCGTGTGTGTGTGTGTGTGTGTGTGTGTGTGTGTGTGTGTGTTTGTGATGGGGTGGGGGTCCATGAAGTCAGTGTGAGCTTAGACCACTGCACACACGTAAAATCTCTCTTTCAGAAGTCATTTGAACATCTAACTTTACAGTGTGAACGATTTCTAGGGGCAGTTCTGGCTCATTGCTGGCAGTTTGGTGCACAGTGTGAGATCAGTTTCTTCAGAGAGGTTGGAAATTTGGCCTTGGCCTCTCTCTCTCTCTCTCTCTCTCTCTCTCTCTCTCTCTCTCTCTCTCTCTCTCTCTCTCTCTCTCTCTCTCTCTCTCTCTCTCTCTCTCTCTCTCTCTCTCTCTCTCTCTCCAGTTCTAATCTTCCTGCCTCTACCTCCCTGAGTGATGAGATTACAAGCATGCACCATGCATCTATCTGGTTTACCCACCCGGATTTACAAGGTGTAGGGTTTCTGCATGCAAAGAAAACAATCCACCCCACACCCATAGCCCCATCCTGTCTCAGAAAGGGGGGCGAGAGGTGGGGAGAATGAGGAAGTGTCCTCAAGAATTGGCGGGAGCTCTTAAGGCGTGGGACAGTGAGGCAGCCTATAGCTAATGATTAACTCAGCATCTCTAGTCCTGGCATGAGTCATTCTGTTCTCTGGGTAAAGTTTTCGCTTAGCTATTTCAGTTGCAAGTTTTTCTTCCTCCTGCTGAAGGCTGGAGCCTGCCCTTCTGCGGAGGGCCCTTGACCTCGGGTGATCAGGTTTTAAAACCTGGATTCTTGGAATCTCTAGTACACCGTGGCCGGGCGTGGGAACAGGAAGTGAGCGCAGCCCTAGGGACTCGGTCGCCGCGTGGAGCCTCGGAAAGCAAAAGCTAGCAGCGGCCTGCGGCGGGCCTCGTCCCATAGCCGCTCGCCCGGGGCCCCGGAGCTGTGGCCGCCGGGTCCCGGAGCTGTGATCCGCGAGCCCCGGAGCTGTGATCCGCGAGCCGGGACTCTGCCGACAGGTGAGTGCGGCACCGCGGCCTCGGTCCACCCCCACCAGCCCGCCAGCAGCTGCTTCGGTGGTGATCTCGCTTGCCACTTCCCGAAACACAGCCACTGAGGTGCCTCCCTCGCCCTCAGGACCCTCAGCGCCTTTCTTGCCACCTCTCCAGAAAACTTAATACAACTTCTTAGGCTTACTTTCTTTTTAAGCCTGGAACGGAGTTAATCATTCGGTGACATCACCTTGTGGAGTCCTCCCGCCTCTGCTGTGTGTCCTCCCGCGTTTTATGCCCCTCCCAACTCTTAAAAGACACCTCCCAACCCTAATACCCCCAAATTCTCTCTCCATTTTTCCCTTTCCCCAGTCTTGCCCCCCACTTGAACTTTTAAACTCTGAACTTAAAACAACACCACACACACACACACACACACACACACACACACACAGACACCTATGACCCCTAATGTTTCAATATGCCTGAAGCAGTTACAACAGTGGCTGGCTTTAAGTACAGTAGGTGTTGGTAATTATCCTTTAGTCATATTAATATTTCTTACTTTTTTTTTTTTAAGGGAGCCCTTCCATGTTCCTTCTGCTTGGTTAGGTCTCAGTCTCCTTCTTTAAAACATGATTTATTGCCAGGCAATGGTGGTACACGCCTTTGATCCCAGCACTCTGGAGGCTGGTGGATCTCAGTTGAGTTTGAGGCCAGCCTGGCCTACAGAGTGAGTTCCAGGACAGGCTCCACAACTACAGAGAAACCCTGTCTCAAAACAAAACAAAATTTAATTTCTATTTTTATTTTATGTGTCTGAGTGTTTTGCCTGCATGCATGTATGTGCACTGGTGTGGGGGGACAGATCCCCTGGAACTGGAGTTACAGACAGTTTAAGCCACTATATGGGTGCTGGGAAAAGACACTCTGCAAGACTGGCAAGTTCTCTTTAAACTGCTGAGCCATCTTTCCAGCCCCAACAAATCTGTTTTTTATAAATAGTGTAGTGATCAAATTAGGATGATTAACATTCATTTCTTACAAATCCTATTTAAGTCGACAAAAGGACTCGACTGTGGACATAGGGGTTGCCGGTCTCGGTTGTGTGTCTTCCGTGTCTTCACTCAAGCGGGAGAAGATGGCCCCATGACACCAGGCCTTTCAGCTGGTGCTTGATTTTATGCCACAGTAAGAAAATCAAATCCTGTTTGTGGATAAATCCACCCCAGGAACTAATATGGCTTCTCCAGCAGCCTGGGTAGTGTTTTGAAGCTTCCAGCATGAAAATTTTTAGTAGGAAAATGGGCATCTTGTTTTATTCGCCATTTCCCAGGCTTGCTGATTCATTTACTATGCCGTCCTATGCTTCCGTGGACGTGGTGCCTGTTAGGGAACTTCATGTTCATAGCTAGTTGCACCTTTGCAGAGTTTATTTTCTTTGGTGATTTTTCTGGCAGTTGTGTGGTTCAGTTATTACCGTGAAAGCTGCAGTTGCTGCCCTCAGGAAGCTCATGGTCTTGGACAGGAAGTTCTCAGGAATGAATGGGCCAGAACTGGGGTAGAGGTTGTATAGGATTCAGGGAAACCATAGCAAGTCCTGGAGTGGATTGAAACACAAACAGGATTTGATTCTGTTATTGTGGTCTTGCCCAGCTTCTTGGGAAGAATCAAATGCCAGCTAAAGGTACTGCAATCATGGGGTCACCTTTACTCACCCCTCCTGGATGCAGAGGTACTTTCAGATGTCTCGTTAATCATCTCAGCTGTGAAGCTGGGGCTCTTTACTGTGAAAACTTACATTCTATATTAGATGGCAGAAAACATAGTTTTAAAGTTTTTTTCCCCTTCTTTTAACAACAGAAAACATTTTAACTAATTCACAGCAGAGAGCTTATGTGTTTGTTCACATGGTGAAGGGCCAGGGTTTGAATTTAGTGAGATTGCTGTAGGAAGCCTTTGGTTTTAGAGTTCTTTAAGGAGTGGTAACCGGAAACTATTGAACTGGGACCAAAGAGAGCATCCCTGTGTAGCAGAGTTAGCTGTGGGCGTTGGAAGACCCTCAAAGTCCCATCAGAGGTGTTACCAATAGTTATAGAGTGAAAACATTGCACTCGTAATGACAAATCCAGAAAAAGCTTTAAAACCCTGAAAAATAGGAGCCAGGCAGTGGTGGCACACCCCTTTAATACCTAGCACTGGGGAGGCAGAGGTAGGCAGATCTCTGTGAGTTCAAGTCCAGCCTGATCTACAGAGTGAGTTCCAGGACAGCCAGGGCTGTTACTCATAGAAACCCTGTCTTGAAAAACCCAAATAAATAAGTAGATAGATAGATGAATTAAAAAAAAAAAAAAAACATCCTGAAGTAGGAAAAGAAGGCGCTGAAATATAAAAAGGCGATAACAATGACACTGGCTTGTTCCTTAGACCCATTTGCTTGGACATCCTTTTCTACCTATTTGCTTGGACATCCTTTTCTACCCGTTTACCTTTAAGGCAGGGTTTTTTTTTTTTTATCTTTGTTGTTGATGTGCATTTTTTTGTTTGCTTGTTTGTCTTGTCAGCAACAAATAGATGGATCCTGGTTTTGGTCTTTTTTTTTTTTAAATTCAATCTGAAGTTTGTGTCTTTTAATTGTGAGATTTGGACTTCTAGTATTCAGATTTATTATTGAAAAGTGTTACTTAAATATACCCAACAGTTGCCAAAGGAGAACTCATGAAACCAAAAGGCTTCTGTATACTGAACTGGGCAAAGAGACAGCATTTGGAATGGGAGAAAAATCTTTACACACTTTACACACTGTACATCTGGCAAAGCATTAGCATCTAGACTATACAAAGAACTAAAACAGTAAGCAATAAGAATTGAAACAACCCAATTAATACACGAGCTAATGAAATGAACAGTGGTTCTCAGAAGATGAAATAAAGGTCCTGGAGGTTGGCTGAGGGGGCAAAGACACTTGCCATCAAGCCAGACAACCTTAGTTCCATCCCTAGAACACAAACGATGGAAGAGATGGAAGAGGACAAACTTCAGGAAGTTGTTTTCTGACTCCCACAAGTGGCAAGGATGCTCCTCACTCTCAAACAAACAAACGATTAAAAAATACAAGTAGCTAAAAACAATGAAAACGTGTTCCACTTCACTAGCCATCAGAGACGTGTGAATTAAAGTACATTGAGAATCCATTGCATCCCTGTCAGAATAGCAGCCACTAAGATGACAAATAACAACAAATGCTTGAAAGAAATTAGACAAAAGGGACCCTTCTGATGGGAATGTAAGCTGGGCTAGCCTCTGGAAAATCAAAATTGAGGTTGTTCCTAAAGTTAACAACAGGTCTTCCATGTGCACATGTGTTATTATGTGCAGGACTCTAAATCAACATATCATGGATATACTTGCACATCCATATTCACAATAGCTAAATTATAGAACTAACATGACCATTAAAAATAGAGGAATGGATGAGGAAAATGTGGCATTTTACACACACACACAGAGAGAGAGAGAGAGAGATTTCCAGCCATAAAGAACAGAGTACTTAATTGCTTATTTAGATATTTAAAATCTTGCATAAAAAGTAAAATCCACCTGGGCAGTGGCAGTGCACACTTTTAATCCCAGCAGCTGGGAGGCAGAGGCAGGTGGATCCCTGTGTTTGAGGCCAGCCAGGTCTACAGATCAAGTTCCAGGACAGCTAGCCTACACAGAGAAACGCTGTCTCCAAAAACCAAAACCAACCAACCAAACAAACAAACAAACAAAAAAGAAAAAAGAAAAAAAAAAAAAAAGGAAAAACAAAAAACAAACAAAAACCCAAAATCATAGTAAGTAAACTGAGCCAATCTCAAAGTCAAATGTCATTTGCTTTTATCATTTGTGGTTCCTAGTTTTATATAGTTACATAAACTCGTGAAAACGGCATGAATGTAGAAGTGAAACTGTCTTGAGACTAACAGGAGAGTGGAGGAGGAGTATGTTCATCATTCAGTGTCTACTTAGCCATCCTCCTCCCGCCTTCTGTGAACCGCCTGTGCCAGGAGAGCAGGAAGTACTAAAGGAGACCTCCAGCACTCGGTTTCCCTCTGCCTGCCACGTAACTCAGAGAAGGGGCTTGGGAGCCAGGTGCCATTGTGAAGACCTCGGGTTTGTTTCTGATAAGGTCAGTTGGGCTTTTAATGGGGGGAAGGATCATGATTCTGGAACTTTCTAGGCTTCGCTGTAGAGGGATTCTGGGTTTGAGTACTGGAAGGGAAGCCTGAGCTTTATCTATGTGGGTAGCTGCCTGCTGTCCTCTGTGAGTCTTCTGACCCCCCCCCCCCATCGATGCTCTTCTGGATGTTTCTGGAATGTAGTTAAGTACAGACGTCTATTTGAAGGCTCCCCCCTCCTTGAACAGAAACAAAATTTTAAAATTTCAACTGACTTGGCTGCTCCATTTCCTGATCCACTTACCTGCACCTCCTCCACAACACATTTTCTGATACACACATGCACACCCCAAACACAATTTTAGCAATTTGAAAGGCACCCACTCTCGCACCGAGTAGCACCGAGGTGCCTGTCATTTCTTTTAAAAAAGAAACAGGGCAGTCCAGAGAAGGAAACAATAAGGAAGCACACATAAAAACTCAGAAACCTGTGCCAGCGGCGAGGTTAATCGTCTTAAGAGGGAAGTGACGACTTACATTTAATTAGAAAATTATGGGGTTGGCTGTGCATTTTATTGGGGTTTGACTGCCTTTGCTGAGATGTATGGAACACCTCTGGGATCTAGGGGAGGTAGAGCTTAGAGTACCCCTTCTGGGAGCTGACTTGCCTGGTGGTAGAGGCCACACTAACAGTTACACTTGGCCTAAGAGGCTTTGGATGACTGTAAACTTCAGCGAGTTTCATTTTATGCCCCCACCCCATCTTGGAGGTAGTTCTCAAAGTCATGGGGAGGAACGGGCTGTGCCTGATTATTCAAGGAAGGAGTGTGATTAGGCACAGTAAATTGGCTGGTGAGGTGAGGTTGT